ACGATGGCCAGCCTTTTGGACCTTGGCCAGGTGTTTGATGGTCTTCAGTTGACCATGTGAGGAAAAAAAAAAAAAAGTTTATCACATTCACCACAACAGTTCTTAATAAACTTGAAAAACAGGCAGTGGCAGATGATCAACTTATGGGTTAACCACAGGCCCATTTAAAACAACTTCAAAATAGGTTACACTCTATAATTTAAAGTTGCGTTGAAGCTCAATCGCAGTTTCTCATAGCTGTTCGTTGGTACGCGCATTAAACCAGAAATACCATTAGCGCATCCTATGGCTCACTTATACGTTAACTGTAAGCACGTCTTATCTAAAGATGAATTTGGGTTCCGTTTCTCATGCCGTGCTTGTTTGACCATGGAACTCATTTTTTTCATAGTCACAAACTTTTTTTGACACAGACATAACCTATATCTTGGCCGAATTTACATGTTTTCGTCAACTTGGGTGGGGTTTTTACGAGCTCATGATTTAATTTAAAGGAAGAAGAAAAAAAAACCCAGACCATATCCAATGTCGTTTACTTTGTTTTTGCTCAAAGGCAAGAATAAGGAGTGGAAATGAAAGGTTTGAAAATATATAGAGTATTAATATAAAATAGCACAATTAATGAAATAGGGTAAAAAAATGATAGAGCTTATATTTTAAGTTTCCTCAAGTTGTCTCAAGTTGTATCAAGTTTTGATATAACGCCTTGAATCAGTCTTACACCCCTTGCCATCCCTGTAATTTTTTAGAACTTGGAAATACTTATTCCTGTTTAAGAAAAAAACTAATAAAAATGTCTCAGACAGCTTCGAAATTGGCCTTTGACGTCCTTCGACACACACAATTTCTGGCATTTTTATGGTTCCATCTTGCGGCGGTTTTTTATGCGACTCCTACTGTCTCTAGTGAAAAAAAATATGGGAAAACTTATACAGGGTTGTTCACAAAAGGGTGGAGAGTTTGGAGAAGGCAGGAGAAGGTAACAATCTAGGACAACATAGCTGAACTGGAAGGTGAGCGGAATTGGAGAATTTTTTTATATCAGCTATTTTTACCTAGATTGTTCACTTCTCCTGCCTTCTCCAAACCCTTCACCCTTTTGTGAATAACCCTGATAATGACTGCCTAGGTGTCCTCTTTTAAAACCTGGGCAACTGAACCCTTAAACGTTCAGACTAGTCCCAATGGGGGCTGCACAGCCACTTCACTCATAGTCCTCCGGCCATGCTTTGGGTGGAAGAATCTCTATTCTAGAATTAAATTCTTACTTGCAGTATACCTTGTATTCACTAGCAATGTACCATTAAACTTGCTTTTAAATTTTGACTACTCCAGGAAGATTCGATTCTCCATCTCAGCCCCCTCCCTTCTTGCTTGTTGTAGCCCTCTCCTCTTTTGGGAGTGTTTAACTACTGTCTGTGCCGGACTAGCTCCTTCTCCCCTCCCTACATAAGCTTTTAGGTAGCTGCCAGGGGAGGAGCAAAGGCGAATACTGTATCGTGTCACTTGAGTGCAAGAGCCGCTGACATCACATCTAAGACAGCATCATTCAGCAACAGTCCCAGGGCTTTTAGATGTCCACACAAGAGAGATCTTATGGGAAGATCTTTGTTGAAATGAACGACCTTGTGAAAGGCTCTCTTTAAGTCATCTTAATATGCAGACTGAATATTATTGGCTCTGCCCATTTCAGACTTCTTGATATATTTGTTAAAGAAAGAGGGAAGTTTCTCAGCAAATAATCATATAAGAGCAGTTTGAATTCCCATTAAAATCACATGGAAGGGTTTCATAAAATCTGGCTTTAGTGATTTATACAGAACCCGGATTTTGGTTAACTGATGGAATTTCCTGACAGTTGCAATGCTTCCAGAATAGTTTTTAAAGTTCCATTTTTATTTTTTTTCCTCTTTAAGACTCTATCAGATGAACTATGTGCTGTCACATTCTCAGAGCCCGTATATAAAGTACAGTCATGTGTCTCCTGTGTTATATGATCAGTAGACATCAGGTAAGAAAGGTCAAATTCTTGTCAGCGTGCCCCAGCAAGTGATGGTGAGCAGGCCTGTCATTTTAAAAACGACCAGTTCAGTTGAATTAAATAGCCGCGGTAATCCTGGTTTACCTGAATAGAACCCTTCGTGTTTATACAAGTCCCTGCAGCTCCTGGGCTGAACGTTGAACATACGGTATATTTGGGAGAATAAATGCAGACTGTGTTAGCTGTGACATCATACTGATTAATTACAGCACATCTTCAAGACATTTTATAAGATATGCTGCCGGGATATAACCGAGGGCTATAAACTCCCGACTTTAACTCCCCTTCAAAGTATTTTAACCTCCTTCCAAGTCATGTTATTCTATAGAATGACAGTTTAGTGAATTTTCTGGCTTAAGTAACGAAGCAGTGCAGACAGCTAGGGTGTGCAGTAAGCCACATCCACATATTTGGTGGGTTTATAACTGTAAAATAATTTTGTTGATTGGTTGCTTCAGGTTTATGCATTTTGTGGATTATATTGTACAATGCCAGGTTCAGATGCCTGATGTTCCAGAGTCAAATATGACTCAGACCATCAAAACTGACAAAGTGCACATACACAAAATAAGGGTCATGTATGAACCGATCATCCTAACCCCTTGTGTGGGGCAACAACCGCTTATTTGCTTTGTTTGCACGTTTGAAGTGTTGATTTGGCTTTCTGCATAAGCCACGGCACAGCTCAGATAGGTGGGAAAGGGCATATACCAAAGGCTTGAAGTAGTGAACGTTTTATTTAAACTTTCATGCATTGTACACTCTTTCCATTTACTCCATTTACTCATGTGCAGCTCTTATGACCTTTTACAGGAGAGCTTAGGGCTGCGTGAACACTGAGCCCTTATCAGACAATTAGCTAAGAGGAGATGGGCTGGTCATTAGGAAAGATACAGCCAAAGAAACCCACACCTAACTATGGACATGAATGAACTGAGAGTCTGTTCAATAATTTGAGAGTCTGTTCAGTAATTCACAGTCCTTAGCCTGTGAAAGTAGAACGAAGGGATGAGTGAATTACACTCATCCTCATAGTTAAAACCGTCGTGTGCCGATCCGCTCACTTCCTGATCCTCTCCCTGCAGAGAGCGGTGACTGCCAGTCTCCTGGACTGACTTGAGGGACAGACGGGGAGGGGGCGGGCATAGCTGGTTCTGCCTCTAGAGAGGCAGAGCCAACTGCCAATCAGCCTGCTGCGTGAATCTCGACGGTATTATTGGGATCCGTCCCGGCTGTGGCCCTCTTAGCATACAGCGGACATTAGCTCACTATAGTGTATAGCTGAGTTTTGGGTTATGGGAGGACACAGTATATGTCCTCCTGTAATCTTGAGGAGAACTATGGGCAAAAAAAGATTTGCGCTGAGATTGTGTGAAGTCTGAGCCCTTAACTGAAATCAGCCAATAGAAGACAGACTGATCATTAGGGGAGTTTAAGTCATTTATTTTAATAACCAGCTCTACTCTGGGTCAATTATGAACTGATTTTACCCCCTCCTGTTATACACTTGTTTGCATGTTTGAAGTGGTAATGTAGCTCCCTGCACGAACCATGATACAGCTGAAACAGGATGGATGATGATAATACTGCAGCAGCTTGGGATAGTGAAAGTATTGCACTTTAATACAAAGGTCTGAACGACCCACCAAGAGAAGAAGGTTAACACCAAACACCCTGACCCATTCTACCTACCCAGGATTAGTTTAGTGATTCACAGCCCTCAGCACATTAACTATCACAGGAGAAGTCATGACTGTGTGAGGTCTGGCTCCATATCTGAAATCATCCAAAATAAGAGAGACTGGTCATAACGGGAGGTGAAGCCATAGATACTTACACCCAGCCCTTTCTCTTCCATTGATGCCAACAAATGTCCTAAATCACGGCCACCTTTTCGTGCAGAGTTTAACTCTTTCCTGGAGAACCTCTTTGATACAATTGATTTACGTCTTTTACAATACTCATTTTCATAGTCTTGTTGTTCCTCCGAAGCTGTACTCTGCGTTGACAGCAGAAAGCATCCCATAATCCTTTCTGAACAGCAAATCGTTGTCGTTGTGAATGATCTAAAATAAATCTAGTGACAAGTATAGACGTTTAGTAACAGATAAGCTGTAATGTCGGGCTCAGCTGAGCCCCATTGTTCCATCCTTGCAATTGCAGTATATTAAAAAATCAATGTAAATGTGTTTAGGTGAAGTATATTGATCAGGAATTGTTTTTTTCTTTGCACATATTCATCTCAGCACCACGCTGATAAGAGGGTGATATGAGTCTATTGGCAAACATTTACTTCTGCGCTTAGCAGTGAGTCATGGCATTTGAAGATTATAGCAAAAAATGATAAAGCCGCAAGACTATATAATTTGTTATAAAATTTGGTAAAATTCACAGTAAAGCGGTGGTGTTTTAAATGTTCATGTGAACCTGTCTGTTTTTTAAAGCAAACCCGTGCTTTGTTTATTTGGGGCACAGCAGCAGGTTTGCTTTATATCCACCATGCCCGGCAGCATATACTTACCTTTCCTTCAAACTCCTGCCGCTTCGTTCAGCCAAAGGTAATACCTAGTACTTCCAGGTATGGAAAAGCATGTGCTTCCCTCCATGTAACAGTGCGGGTTCCGTCGGCACTCAAATGGAGAATTCTCTACTCTAAGCTTACATAGCACTTTCCTTTTGCTCTATTCAGCTGAACAGAGTGGTAGAGGAGCGACAAAAAGCTAAATATATGCGCCAGGATTCCATATGAAAGCGTAAGTTTAGGCATTTTGGATTCCAAAAAGTTAGGTGCCAGCTATAACTCTTTCAGTTTATTGGCTAAAAGGTCCCTGGGATTTTTTGGATTTTTTCATATGTAAAGGGAATTGGTAGATGTATTACATAAGAGTCACTATAGATGTGCTGAAAAACGCCCCTTGATGGTAACTAGTTATACTAATAATCTCCTGTTTTCTTGCAGGTAAAGATGAGCCTACCAGCTATATTTGCACAACGTGTAAGCAGCCTTTCAATAGCGCCTGGTTCCTGCTTCAACATGCTCAAAACACACATGGATTTCGCATCTACCTGGAGACCAGCCCAATTAGCAGTTCCCTCACTCCACGAATTACCATCCCCCCACCTCTGGGACCGGAGACTGTTGCACCATCCCCCCTGATGAACTTCCTTGGAGACAACAACCCCTTCAACCTTCTACGAATGACTGGGCCCATTCTACGTGATCATCCAGGCTTCGGTGAGGCTCGGCTACCAAACACGCCGCCACTCTTCAGCCCACCCCCTCGCCATCATCTGGACCCACACCGCCTTAGTGCTGAAGAAATGGGGTTAGTTGCCCAGCATCCCAGTGCCTTTGACAGAGTTATGCGTTTAAATCCAATGGCAATTGAATCTCCAGCAATGGATTTTTCCCGAAGGCTACGAGAACTGGCAGGGAACAACTCCACTCCTCCTCCAGTGTCTCCAAACCGTGGCAATCCTATGCATCGCTTGCTAAATCCCTTCCAGCAAAGCCCTAAATCCCCTTTTATGAGTACCCCGCCATTGCCACCCATGCCCCCAAGCAGTACAACGCCACCCCAAACCCAGGCCAAGAGCAAGTCCTGTGAGTTCTGCGGCAAGACATTCAAGTTCCAGAGCAATCTCATAGTTCATCGTCGTAGTCACACGGGGGAAAAACCTTATAAATGTCAGCTGTGTGACCACGCATGTTCACAGGCAAGCAAATTGAAACGCCACATGAAAACGCATATGCACAAATCCGGTTCCATGACTGGCAGGTCTGACGATGGACTGTCTGCCACAAGCTCACCAGAGCCAGGTACTAGTGATTTAACTGGAGAAGGGAAATCCAACGATTTTAGGAACGAGAGTGACCCATCTTTGGGCCACGAAAATGAAGAAGAAGAAGAGGAGGAGGAAGAAGAGGAGGAGGAGCTAGAAAATGAAAGTAGACCAGAGTCAAGTTTTAGTATGGACTCGGAAATGAGTCGTAATCGGGAAAACGGGGCCAAGGCTCTACATGACGAGAAGTCCCTCGTGCTCGGCAAAGTGATGGAGAATGTAAACTTGGCAAGCATGCAGCAATATAGTGACATGCTCAATGACAAACAGAAGAGAAACCAATTCATGAAACGGTCTTCTGACCCGCGAGATTTATGCCGGAGAATTCCAGGTGAAGAAGATGGCGACGAAAGAGAGATTATCCGGAACGAAGAAGGGGCCATCAACGGCAGAAGCTTTGGTGAACCCTTCCCAGGTCTGCTCCCTCGAAAACCTATGCCCATCTCTGGCTCTGGTCTCAATAACTCCTCAAAAAGGATAAAAATTGAAAAAGACTTAGACTTACCACCAGCAACAATAATCCCTTCCGAAAACGTTTACTCGCAGTGGCTGGTTGGCTATGCAGCATCACGGCACTTCATGAAAGATCCATTTCTCGGATTCACAGACTCTCGACAATCCCCTTTTGCAACTTCTTCTGAACACTCTTCAGAAAATGGCAGCCTGCGTTTCTCCACTCCACCAGGTGACATGCTGGACGGGGGTCTCTCAGGGCGGAGTGGGACGGCGAGCGGGGGCAGTACACCTCATATCGGTGGACCAGGCCCCGGTCGACCCAGTTCTAAAGAAGGGAGGAGGAGCGACACGTGTGAGTTCTGCGGCAAAGTATTTAAGAACTGCAGCAACCTCACGGTCCATCGCCGGAGCCACACGGGGGAACGGCCTTACAAATGTGAGCTCTGCAACTATGCATGTGCACAGAGCAGCAAGCTGACGCGCCACATGAAAACACATGGCCAGATAGGTAAGGAGGTGTACCGCTGTGACATTTGCCAGATGCCCTTCAGTGTTTACAGCACCCTGGAAAAACACATGAAAAAGTGGCACGGAGAACACTTGCTGACAAATGACGTGAAAATTGAGCAGGCAGAAAGAAGCTAAGGCCCCTAGATGGGTTTAATCAGTTTTAAATTTGTACAGATTTAACTATTGCCAACTGAGAAAAAGCTGAATTAACTTGCCTCCTTAAAAACATAACTTAGCGTAAACATGTTAGGTGTCGCAAAGTGGCACTAAAAATACAACCTGTGTCTGCAGTCTCTCTTTTTTTTTTTAAACCTGAGGGTTGAATAAGGCAGTCAAACTTTTGGAGCCTTTTAACTGTGCAATAATTTCTGTATTTATTTGGGTTTTATTTGTCATTTTTGGCATGTGCAGGTACTTTTTTTGCTGTTTGATTTTTTTTTACTATATTTTTTTTTTTTAAGATTGTTTTTGTTGTTGTGCATCCTTGTTAAAAAAAAAAATCCTCGAAACCTCTCTTGTGTTGCAGGGACCAGCAAATTATCTATGTAACAATAAATTTCAGCCCCCCCTGCAGGACAAAGAGGGTTAATCCCCACTTATTCCCCAAACCCTTTACCCTACTTATCAGAGTAGTAGCCTGTCTGTCCTAGTAGTGGAGAATTGTATCTTAAATTATCATTTTTGGGCTGCTACATTTGTGCAATTTAAGCTAAAAAAAAAAAAACCTTTGTAATTTCTTGAAAAGAAGCCATCAGCTTATTTCTGTTATTTTTTATATTTTTTTTTTATTTTTTTTTATATATTTTCAATTTTTTATTTAACTTGCCATTACTAAAATGGGGGTCAGATAGAATATTTACGCAGCGGATTACAATCTATAAAAATCTTAGCACTTATATTGCATGATAGGATCTCATATGCAACAGTTAAAATGCAACCTGAATTTTTTTGAGGAACCTTATACTTGATAATAATAAGTGTGCAAATCACAATACATTGTCTGCACCATTGCATTTTTTTTTAAATTTCATTTTTTTTATGCATTTTTTTTATTCTGTTGTCTATACATTTGAAAATATTTTGAGAGGCACAGCATTGAGAAAAAAAAATCCTGCATTGAATGCAGTCTCCTACATGTCCTTTTTTTTATTTTTTTTGCTGCTGAAGTGTACCTGCAGTTCCCTACTCAAGGGAGCTTCTGTGGTGCGGGCCACTTGGCAAGCAAATGGTTAAAGATGCACTGTTAAAACCTAAAGCCACCTACAGTTCACTCAGTGCTGAAAAGCTGAAGGGTCATCGACACAGTTCAGTACATGAGTTATGTCATTGTAATTGGTTGCTTATTTTCAAATTGATGTGGACTATGAATAATCGAATGTTATTTATTTTAAAATAATGAACGTTCCATTTGCTTTTAAGATCGTTTTTCCATTTTTGTTTTCTTTTTTTGTCTTTGCGTGCATCAGGAGGACAGCTGAGAACGAAAGGTTACCCATTTAAATTTTGTTGACCGCACTTTAAAAGTTGAGTTTCTATGTTTTCCCATGGCTTCTGAACAAGAAATTACAGCCTATTCTCCTGCACAACCCAATGGCGGGTTGGATTCAATAAAGGGAACACCTGAGATTAAGTGCCAGCGTTGCTAAGCATGGCATTCACAATGCTGGCACTATAAAAAAAAAGATTATATATATATAATTTATTGGACGGTTTGTCTACTGCCATTCGATTTTTTTTTTTGTGAGTGCCTTGAAAACTGATCTTCCTATGTGAGTCTCTTGAGACAAAATGCAAAACATTTTTGTGAAAGAAAAAAAGAACTTTTAAAAATAGTAATACAAGAAATTTACATTTCTTTAAAAAAAAAAACAACAAAAAACAAAAAAAAGCCACATTTACGTATAGAGAAAAAAACAAAACAAATCTGGTTGACCATAGTGGACACAATATTGCCATAAGACCCAATCTAACGAAGATGTTTACTCAGCACAAGTTTGAACCTTTTTAAGCTGATTTATTGTCAGCTTTGTTTCTTTTCAGGACAACGCTGCTTAGAAAACGGAATGAAAATTATTTACTGCTGAATTGAAAAATGAAATGACACAACATACCAGTTATCGTTGAATGGGGGAAAAAAAAAAAAAAACTATTCAGGAACAACGGCTATTTTTTTTTGTTTTTCTTTTTTTTTTCTAACGGTAAATTTAGTGCACTCTGTCTTAAAATACGTTTACAGTATTCAATACGTACAAGGGTTAAAAAAAAAATGAAAAAAATAAGAAATAATTGTGTGTATGTGTGTTTGGACGATCATTTCTTTTCAAAGTTGCTTAATAGGTTATAAAAACGCCATAATGGCCATGTGTATATTGTTTATGGTTTATTACATTGTTCTTGTCACTGTAATTGTAAAGTCTGAGTTTTAGTACTTATTTTCCTGCCTGGGTGTTATTTTTTATTTCAAACTGTATAGAAACTTGTATTTGGGGAATAAAAGGTGATTGCTACACCATGTAGAAAAAGTAAGTAGAAAAAAAAAGTGCTTAATATTGTTATTGCTTTGCAGAAAAAAAAAAATCACGTTTCTGAAGTGTGCTTAATTTCCTTTTTTTTTTGTTCCTCTCCCACCCCTCGCCCCCTTCTGGAATGGATATTGATATTGATTGGTTCACATGTTTTTTTTGTTAGTGGATTTGAAAAAAAAAAAAAAAAACACATGCTGACATAATATATTTTTTTAATTTGGCAGGATAAAATAGAAAAAAAGAAAAAAAAAAAAAGAAAATGAATAAACATTTGTAATTTAAGTCCTAATGTACAGAAAAGAAATAAAACCCAATGAAGTTGTATAACAGCTTCTGGGTAATTGAAACAAATAAAACAAAAAAGTCTTAAATATTTTGTTCACCAGAAATATTAGTTGTGCATTCTTTTCATGATTGG